AGAGACTAAAACAAGAACAGAGAATCCGAGAATTGGCGCAAAAGGGACATGACACTTCTAGATTGATTAAAAATCTTGGTGGTAAGGGCTTAACCAGAACTTTATAATATTTTTAGAAGATGATTTTAAATAATTCCTTTTTTCTTTGTTTGGAGAAAAGGACTCATTCTGTTGCCTAGGCTAGAGTACAGTGGTGCCATCACAGCTCACTGCAACCTTGTATTTTTTGTAGTCATGGAATCTCGCTTTGTTGCCCAGGCTGGTCTTGAACTACTGCCTTCAGATGACCCTCCCACCTTGGCCTCCCAAAGTGTTGGGATTACAGGTGTGAGTCATTGCACCCAGCCTAAATGATTGCCTATTTTTAATACCTTTAATATACCTACTATTTTTGTAGGAATTTCAGACCTTAAACTAGTGTAATTTTATAAATAGGAATGCTTAATTTATGTGGAAAATTGCAATAAAAGCAGAAATAATGTTAAAATGTGTTAAATAATGTTAAAATTTAATAGGTAAAATGTGTACTTTTTGTGTCTGTTTTTACAGAGAACAATTATGAAATGATCTCCCTAAATTCAGTAACTGATAGGAATGTGGGTAACTTTTTGTAAGAAAATTTTTATTGCAGTGTTCATCCTGATTAAGTGAAAATTATTGTATTTAGTTGCTGCTATACATACATAATTTTTATTAATATTCCTTAAGTGTTGTTTTATCAGGTAATTTCTCTTTGCCAGTTGATACAATACAAATGGAATATAACGCATCTACTAACATTTCAAATTCAAGACATGATTCTGATGAAGTCAGCGGTAAAATGAATACATACACGAATTATACAACTTCTAAGAAGGATACTGGTGTGCAAACAGGTATTTGTGTAGAAACTGTGGTTTGATTTAAAATTTACTTAAAGTCATAATTAAAGCAATTAGAATTAAGTTCAAAAGTTCAAAAATTAACAAAAGGTGAGGTTTTCAGTAAGTTACAAAATAAAGGGATAACAGCTTTGTTGAAATATGTCACATACCACAAAATTTACCCTACAGTTTAGTGTTTTTTGGTATTCAGTGGTGCAACCATTACTGCAATCAATTCTCAAACATTTTGATCACTCGAGAAAGAAACACTGTACCCATTACTTGTCACTTTCTATTTCTTCTTTCTCCTCCAGTTAATGTTCTGTCTCTGAATATTTCTGCCTGTTCTGGACATTTCATGTAACTGGAATTAGACCACATAGTCTTCTCTGGCTTCTTTCTCTTAGCATGTTTTAAGGTTCATCCATGTTGTAGCATGTATCAGTACTTCATTCCTGTTTGTCACTGAATAAATACAACATTTATCATACCACATTTTTATTCATGAGTTGATGAACATTGGTGTTATTTCCACTTTTTGGCTATTATTAATATGCTGCTGTGAATATTCATATATAGATTTTTGTGGATGTACATTTTTAGTTCTTTTGAGAGAAGAGTAGAATTGCTGAGTCATGAGTAACAGGTACTGTATGTTTAGCATTTTGAAGAACCACCAAACTTCTCCAAAGCAGTGGTATCATTTTACATTTCCACCATCAGTGCATGTGGGTTCTGATTCTCTATATTCTTGCCAACCCTTGTTATTCTACTGATTGTGAAGTGTTAGGTGATTTTGGTTTGCATTTCCCCCAGTGACTGATGATGTTGAGCATCTTTTCATGATTATCAATTCATAGAGATGGAAATTAGAGTGGTAGTTGCCAGTGGTTGGGAGTATGAGGGGTTGTTCTTTAATAAGTATAATAGAGTTTTGGTTTTGTTGAAAATTAATGAAAGAAAAAAGTCTCAGAGGGCAGTAATTGTTTAATGTTTTGGGGAAAGTTATTTAAAATTAAAAATTTTGTTTATAATTTAAAAAAATCATTTGAAACTTTTTTTTAGATGACTTAAATATAGGAATATTCACCAATGCAGAATCACATTGTGGATCATTAATGGAGAGGGACATCACAAATTGTTCATCTCCTGAGATTTCAGCAGAACTTATTGGACAGTTTAGCACCAAGAAAAACAAGCAAGAACTAACTCAGGATAAAGGAGCCAGCTTAGAAGAAGAAAACAATCGGTATAATGACCAGTGTAATCAGTTCACAAGAATAGAGAAACAAACAAAACACATGAAGAAATATCCTAAAATGCCTGATTGGAATATAAATAAGCCACCTAAAAGGTATATTCCAGCATCAGAAAAGTACCCTAAACAGCTTCAAAAGCAAAGAGAAGAAAAAAAAGTAAGGAGGCAGATGGAATTGCTTCATTTGGTAGAAAAAAATAATCCTGGGCACCTCTCTCAAAACAGAGGCATTTCACCAGAAATTTTTCATTCATCTCATCAAGAAACTGAGTCAAAGTTCAGGCCGCATCTAGTCAAAAAGGTAAAGCTCTTCCATCTTAGAAGATGTGTTGATATTTCTAGATTCAAAACAGTTTCTCACATGTATGCTTTGGTAAGGCTGTTCTGATCTGTTTCAGTTTACATTAGGGATCAGCAAACTATATCCCATGGGCAAATCCAGGCTGCTACCCATTTTTGTAAAATTTTGAATGAACATAGTCAATTCATTCTTTTATGAATTGTCTATGGCTGACTTCACACAACAGACTAGCAAGAGAAACAATATGGCCCACAAAGCTGAAAAGGTTTTATTATTGAGTCCTTTACATTTAACACAACTTCTATAGATGAATGCTATGTGTTCAAATACCCCTTTAAAACCCTTGTTTATAGTCCATATAGACAGAGGTCAATTTGGGAGATTAGGAACTACTGGATTAGTTTGACTCTGGAAAAATACTAAATCTATTTATTCTATTGCTCAGTCAGTACCTGTTATTCAAATATTACCCTCAGATTATTTCAATAAGTAGCTCTAAAAATATTTGTGGGGACATGTGAAAATGCTATATATTCCTTTCTGCATTTATCCATCTTTTAGGAAGAAGAGCCTCTGAATATTCATTCATTCAGCAAGGAAAGGTATGTATGCATCAGATTAATTCTGCAGCTATTTAGTGCTTTCTGTGTGGGACAAAAAAGGGATTCAAGATCTGGACGGCATGAGGCATATAGTTATATGTAGAGAACAGTCAGAAAGGGTGTGGCTTCCAGGTGAGGGTTAGAGGATTAAGGGATAGGGTGGCACTTTAGCTGGAGCTTGAAGGTCCATGTTGGACTGGGCCTAGGCAGGAATGTAGATAACATTTACTTTTATCTCTAGACTTAACTAAGTGATTTTGATATTCCAGGTTATGTCACTAGCAGAATAGGCATTCTGCTTTGGGAGGAGGGATGGCCAGGAGTGGTGAATGGGAAGAAATGACTGATAAGGACAATGAGAAATTCAGTCAATGAGAGATTTAGAAATTAGAATCTTTATTCTGTCTTTGTGCATGAACCAGCTGGTTTAGTTGTCTCAGAATGGGGCTTAAAAACAAGTTTTGTTCAGATGGTGAGTATATTATTATATGGTGAATTATCTAAGGAGAAAACAGTAGGCTCAGACTAACCAAGCCAGCAGTGTTCCTCAGGATCTAGTAATTAAATTTCTCCCTTGTGCTACAGTACACATACCATAGCTAGTGCTAGTAAAAACACAAATAAATACCATTCTTTTCCCCTGTTTTATGGAATGATATTATAGAGCTCAGGCTTCTATGCATATATTCCCAAAGGTGTTACAGGTACATTTAGAATAAAGTGAAATGGGCCAGGCATGTGGCTCACGCTTGTAATCCCAGCACTTTGGGAGGCCGAGGCAGGTGGATCACCTGAGGTCAGGACTTCAAGACCAGCCCTGGCCAACGTGGTGAACCCTGTCTCTACTAAAAATACAAAAACTAGCTGGGCACAGTGGCGTGCACATGTAATCCCAGCTACTTGGGAAGCCGAGACAGGACAGGTTGCTTGAACCCAGGAGGCAGAAGTTGCAGTGAGCTCAGATCACACCACTGCATTCCAGCCTCGGCAACAGAGCAAGACTTTGTTTCATAAAGTGAAATGTGATCAAAGAGATATACTTAATCTAAATACACAGTTTTTTACTAAGGCTCCTATTTTTCTTTTTTTAATAGGTCTCCATCACCACCAGTTCCAGCAGTGAAAAACAGAACCCAACAAACTCAAAATACATTACACTTACCACTAAAAAAAAGTAGCTATGAGAGAGAGAATTTGATTTCAGGAGGTAATCAAACAGAATTATCACCTGGAATTTCTGAATCATCCCATTTTATTCCCTATGTTCGAACAAATGAGATCTATTACCTTGATCCCGATGCACCATTGTCTCAGCCTTCAACCCAGGACCCTCAGTACCAAAATTCACAAGGTAAGTAAATATAAGCATTCTAACTGTAAAAATTGATCCATGTAAACCCCCAACTTTAAATTCCAAATTAGTAATTCCTGCACTTAGTTCTAGAAAGTTTCTTACAATGTTTGCTCCTGGAGAGAGGAAGGAATTTTCTCTTGAATATGTCTTAAATTTTGCTTAGTACTTTCCTAGGATACATATTTATTAATGACTCCTTAGAATATTATATAGCACAGGGCTGTATCATTTTACTAATGTAATTGGCTGATTTGTTACTTTCATCCCGCTTTAGACTGTGGCCAAGAACGACAGCTATTTGATTCTGACTGTGTCAGGGATCCACTTCTTAATCCTAACATGGTGAAAAATAGGGATCGACAGCAAGCAATCCTTAAGGGACTTTCAGAACTGAGACAGGTATGAGCTTTTTCAAGTGTAGATGTGTCTGTTCTTTATGTGGCGTGGGCGGTTCGGGGAACATGTTGAATGGCTGTTTTAAGTTACTTTGATGCATCCCAGGTTTTAAGAAGTATTTCAGTTCCTATATGTTAGACACAAATAAAATGGGACTTTCCTTGGACTTGCTTTTACATTGCCGTCTTTGAGTAGTTCTTTCCAGTACGAAATCATGAGACAGTTACAAAATTAAGACAAGTTTATTGAGTATAAAAATGCATACATTGGAACGGCAAAACATCAATAAGGCCCTAAAACAAAAAATACAGTTACGCTTTAACAAATTCTTAGCAATATGTGGCTTTTAAAAAAACTTGACGTGTTGGCAGTGTTTAGAATATTGACGTACATCCCAAATAGTAGTAAATTCAGTATGAAATTATACGTCTAACCTTACTCACCAGATTACTTTTTCTCCCAAACTGTTGTGACTTCTCATTATTTTACTCTCTGATTAAAACAGGTGACATGCTTACAACCTTTGCTCCATCCCTTGGGCTTTAAAAAGAATGGCTGTAGTTAGCTTTGATTCACTATATACTCTGTACTCAGGGAAGAATAAGCTGTGCTGTTTATAAGTGCCCTTTCCCATGTCATCATGTACCCTCTGCATTTCAAAATGCTGACTCAGATGTCTTCCCTCTACAGAACTAGAAAATTGTCCCCTTTGGTCTATTTACTCATTTGAAGACAAACAGGATTACTAAGAGTTTTACATAAATTATTTCTTTAGAGTGACAAAGTGTTAATTTACTTCTTGCTTAGTGGAAACAAAAATTGTGAGATAAAGAGAAAGGAATATGATGTACACATTTACCCACAAATATAGTGCCCAGTGTTATTTCAGCAGGACCCTTCTATTAGCATCTAAGGTAAGGTTAGGACAGTCAAGATAAACACTGGATGTTGGCCAGGCGCAGTGTGGCTCAAGCCTGTAATCCCAGCACTTTGGGAGGCCGAGGCAGGTGGATCACGAGGTCAGGAGATCGAGACCATCCTGGCTAACACAGTGAAACCCTGTCTCTACTAAAAACACAAAAAATTAGCTGGGTGTGGTGGTGGGTGCCTGTAGTCCCAGCTATTTGGGAGGCAGGAGAATGGCATGAACCTGGGAGGCGGAGCTTGCAGTGAGCCGAGATCGCACCACTGCACTCCAGCCTGGGCAACACAGCAAGACTCCGTCTCAAACAAAACAAACACTGTATGTATATTAAGGGAGACGCCTCCTAGTATCTAAGAGAAGTTGGGGGTGGATTGGGGGAGAGGGAATGACTTCATTTACCCCCATAGTTTTGGAGGCTTGATTTTTAAGAAAATTCTCATCCCTACTGATTTTTATGCTAAAAATACAATCTTACAAATGTGATAGCTTATATATCCAAATGAAGTGGTCTAGTACAAGCATTTCTGAAAAATTTTTGAATGACAATTTTATCCTAAGCAGTATGTTTTCCAAGTGAATAGAATTCTAGTTTAACACAACATTGCAAGTCAGGTGTGCACATTTTACTAACATATATCAATGTGATTTCAGGGCCTTCTCCAGAAGCAAAAGGAGTTGGAAAGTAGTCTCCTGCCTTTAGCTGAAAATCAAGAAGATAATTTTGGTTCTTCATTTTAAATGTAGAAAATCAAATCCTTCACATTTGATTTGTGTCTTCCAAATTATAAAATGTGCTCACTGGCTCAACGGTATTTTTCAAATAGCCTAGATTTTATTTTTTTAAATGCTCATTAAAAACTTGTATACTATGTAGTAAAATGCTGTACTTGTTCTATACAATAAAACATACTTTTGTAAAAGCTTAGTAGTAAAAAAAACATGTTCTTCTGCTCTGTCACCACCTGAGTATTGAAGCCCTATTAAAAAAACACTTACTACTTACCTTAATATAGTCTGGCGTTCCTGGGACCTCACAGTGTTCTTTCACACTTTTTATGTAACTTATTAAGTGAAATACCACTCATGCATTTGTTCTAAAGTGCCAAAGTTCTATCTAACTTACTAACACGTCTAGACCCATAACTCTATATAACTTTACTAAAATAACAAATTCAATTTAGGCTTCTGTGGAAATTGTTTTCTTCTCTAAATCCTGCTTTTATGACATTTGTAGAAATTGCAATTTTCAAAAACATTTTTATAAGTTAGCATTAGCAACAAGTTAGTAATTAGTATTAGAGGCAGTAGTTAGGAATAGATGTAGGTTTGAAAGCTATCTCCACTGTATCTTTCTAGTATAGCACTAATGTGTTCCACAAATGGTAATTACTACTAAGACCACCTCAAAAATATATTTCCATTATACTTCAATATTGCTAAAACTAATTTAAAAATCAAATTGTTCAATGCCATTGATAAACAGAAGCCTATCGTTTGAAATATAAAAGTTAATTTCATTAAATCAAGGATTGCACAAGTACTGAAAAATCCAATGCTCTCGAAGTTACCGGAATTTTAGCAATAGGCAGTTTTTACGTGACTAAGCCTAGGGATAAAAAATGTGTCCTATGTACATAGTTTATTATCTAAATGAAACTGCATTGTTAAATCTTGAGGTATTGAGCCAAAATCCTGTAAATATTAACACTGCTATTACTGGCTTATACCTGTGTAAAAACACTATACAAAAGCCTAAATCAAAATAATTCACTTCAACAAAAGTACTTTGTATCAGGTGACATTAGAGCAAAAGTAGTAAAGCCTTTGCTGTTTACCGTCCTCCTGCAAGCATCTGATTTTACACATAAAACAGGCTTCAATTTGAAGCCTAACTACAGGTAACATACAAAAGTAAAACTTAGAAGTGCCAACATGAGATAATTCAAGTACAATATATGTTAAAAATATATATTTATTTCAATTTTTAGATGCTTCAACTGTTACAGACCATCATGATTTAAATAAAAGAAAAAACATTTGAGAAAGAACAAGAACCTTTTGTTTAGAGAATGAAATATAAATTGTTAATAAACAAAGTCCACAACAATCTATTTTAAAAAAAAGTTGCTACGGTTATTTCTCTTGTGAATATGGCCTGGAAGAATCACTTTTCCCTCCACTTAAGGGAGGTGGAGATTTATCTGTATCCAAGCTTTGAGTATAAGCAGATAAGAAGTAATTTTCATTTTCTTGAGACTGACTTGATGAAAGGGCATATGGTGTCCCCAAAAATGTCTGATGAGTGAGAACATTAAAATGACTAAACTGATGGGACATATTTAATTGACTATGATAAACCTGAAAGTTACTATATGAATCTTGTTCTGTTGAATTGCTGTTCTCTCCTTCAGAGCATACTATATCAACAGAAGTTCTCTCTTCAGAATCAAGATAAGTCTTATCTTCTAATAAACTGTTTTGCACATCAGGAGACGACTGCAACTCAATTTGAGTATTCTTTTTTTGATCTGTTCCACGTGATCCTTTGGTCTCTCTCTCCCATATTTCTGAATGAAAATTGCTGCATACTTCTATATGTGAGATTTCATCCCCTGAATCCAGAGACATATCCTCTTCATCCTTTTCATCGTTTTCTAAAAGAGCTACATTTAAAAAACAAAAAGTCCTCCTCTATTGAAATACACAGTTTGTTTACGTTTTAAAATTATACACTACTCACACAATATAACGCGTCAGGGTCTGCAAGTCCACAATCCCTTAAAGCTTGGTCTTCTGCCACAAGTTCACTTAGTCACAACACTCACACTAGATGTGAATGTCCAGATAATCCGATGCTAAAAGCTTCTGCGAAATGTGTTCACGTTTAATGTTGGGAAATCCCAACTCCCAGCTCCAAAGGGGTTAATGTCAAAACAGCATCTAAAGTTATACGGTAATTCAGTATTTGACAAGACAAATATAAAATAAAATTTTTTGACATCTAGCTTCATTGGATTACTAAACTGGTTAGCACTACTGAATGATCATTTCTGCTTTTTTTCATCCAAAACAAAAGTACATCTTTCATTTCACATAGAACCTGGAACCAAAGCAGAGGCCATCTCACAAAAGACTAAGGCTATGACAGCTCTACTATCTTGCAATTAAACTGCTTTATATATGTGGGGAGGTCTAGCAGCTCAATGCTGAATCGCCATATCTGGTTTCCTACCTTTTTGTTAATATAACCCCTTTGCTGACAATAGTAACCAATAATGCTTACAAACCCTCGAAGAGAAAATGCATACTCCATGTATGCATTGTCTACAATATAGATAGAAATGCATAATCTATAATAACTAACAACTTAGACTGGCTACAGTATAATAAATGAGCAGATCTTGTGCATGCTAAGTATTAGAATGATAAATGTCTTCAAACACTTTCCCTATGACTGTTTATACTGAGGTGAGTGGTTTCGAAACAGTCATTTCATTATTTCGTAACAGAACAAAACCATTCCTCTTTTACTGTCTGCGTTAAAGAAAATGAAAACCACTGAAAAGTTACCTGACTGGGACTCAAGATTCTCATTAGCACCAAGCTGCGGAAGGTTTTCTTCTGTGATTGAGTTGTGATAGCCCACAAGATTTTTAAAGTTTTGCATGAAGTCTTCAGCAGTTGCAACCACTATTCCATTATCTGTATAACTGGAAAGCATCTTGATGGTCTTCTCTAAATTAAGAAAAAACGTTTCATGTATGAAACCCTTCAAAATGTGGACAGCCCCCAGCCCTCACAAAATCCTTTCCTTCACATTTTCAGAATCAAAGCTTAGCGACACCCACCACAGCCCCATAAAATCCTTTCATCCACATTCCTATATTCATAATAGAAAGCTTAGGAGTGCTCTCTTTACCTGTTAAAAAGACTATGTGTCGTTGCTGTATGTTCTGAGCCTGAAGTCTGATAAGGCAATCCAATTCTGGAGCATTTCGAGTTTGTGAATCACAATTGTGGTATGACAAAATTTCAACCAGATGTTTCTTCTGATAGACATTCAGAAGCGTCAACAGACTTAGAGCTTTAGCATTCAATCTGTGAAATTAAGCAGTTCAGTATCTGGATCTGTACTTCTAAAATTTAGTATGGAAATTTCTGCTGTAGATTAAAATTCAGTTTCTCCATTGAGGCAACTAATGACAACTGCACTGCTTTAGCTCTCTGCCTGATGTACGGGCGTGCTTCTTTGGAAAGAAAGAAAGGGGTTTCTTAGTCGCAGGGCCTCAGGGCCAGCTATACAGCTTAGGCTAAAATCTCAGCTGATTATTCTACTTACTTAAAGTATGACTACCTCTATCAATTTTGAACTTTAATGAAGGACTTAAAAGGACAAAAAAAGTATAAATCCTTCCTTCAAAAAATACAATATACAGACCAGGCCTGATGGCTCACGCCTGTAATCCCAAAACTTTGGGAGGCCAAAGCAGTTGGATCACCTAAGGTCAGGTGTTCAGGACCAGCCTGGCCAACATAGTGAAACCCCATCTCTACTCAAAATACAATTAGCCGGATGAGGTGGCTCATGCCTGTAATCCCAACTACTTGGGAGGCTGAGGCGGGAGAATCACTAGAACCCAGGAAGCAGAGGTTGCAGTGAGCTGCGACTGCACTATTACACTCCAGTCTGGGCAACAAGAACTAAAGTCTCTTAAAAAAAAAAAAAAAGTACACTATTATGGCTCTAAACTCTTTTTTTTTTTTTTGGAGACAGAGTCTCGCTCTGGCACCAGGCTGGAGAACAGTAGTGCAATCTCAGCTTGCTGCAACCTCCGCTTCCTGGGTTCAAGCGATTCTCCTGCTTCAGCTTCCCGAGTAGCTGGGACTACTACTACGCCTGTACACCACCACACCCAGTTAATTTTTGTATTTTTAGTAGAGACGGGGTTTCACCATGTTGGACAGGATGGTCTCAATCTCCTGACCTTGTAATCCGCCTGCCTCAGCCTCCCAATGTGCTGGGATTACAGGCATGAGCCACCATGCCCGGCCGGCTCTAAGCTGTTTCTATATTGCAAGGGACAAGGCAACAAGTGGAGATAAGCTTTTAAAAGTGAATTGCTACAAAGAATTAAATACTCAAAACTTATTTAAGCCTGAATTTCCTGAAAAGTGTACCATGGAATGTCATACTTTAAGAAATAAAATTTTGTGGTCTAAGTTTAAGGAAATAATGATTAACACAATGTAAAACAATTATTTTAACTAGAGTTCTTCATATCCTTTAATGTGTAAATACATTTTATAGACTTTACTAGTAGGATATAGTGTCCCAAATGTGCCTGATTACCACAATCATTTATGGACTCTCTCAAGTGACTAGTGTTCCAAAGACCAAGTGACTAGTATGAGTCATTAGTCAGTTGGCTCAGAGAGGGTCTGATGTAGTTGGAACATACAGTTCAGTTAAAAAAGGAAAATGCTGGCCGGGCACAGTGGCTCACGCCTGTAATCCCAGCACTTTGTGAGGCCAAGGCGGGCGGATCACCTGAGGACAGAAGTTCGAGACCAGCCAGGCCAATGTGGTAAAACCCCATCTCTACTAAAAATACAAAAATAAGACAGGCATGGTGGCAGGCACCTGTAACCTCAGCTACTTGAGAGGCTGAGGTGGGAGAATCGCTTGAACCCAGGAGGCGGAGGTTGCAGTGAGGCGAGATTGCCCCACTGCACTCCAGCCTGGGCTACAAGAGCAAAACTCCATCTCAAAAAAAAAAAAAAAAAAAAAAAGAAAAAGAAAAAAGAAAAAAGAAAAATGCTGATCATTCCATTTGGATGATTACTCTAAATCCACGCATGGCAAATATTAAACAAATTTTACCTATGCACATAACAAGAACTTCACCAAACTTCTACTTAAAAGTACTGCTTCCTCTTATAAAGGCAAGAATAATTTAGTATCTATACTCCATTATGACTGGCTATGGACATCTGTGAAAAATTAACAACATCCATAATCTACAAACATGGGAATAGAGAAATATGAGTACAATGTTAAAATCAACAACCATTATACAGTTATGTTTCAAAGCTTACCTGCCTAGTTCTTTTAGTTTTTTCTGAAATTTACAGTGGACTTTCCATTGCCATTTTCCTTCTGGAGTACTAAGTTCTTCAAGGAATGTCAAAAAATTTTTAAGGTTCTCTGTTAGAAATAATGAAGTTCCTTTTTAATTCAATAATCATTCCACAAGTGAATTATGAAAGAAGTGCTTTTTCATATTATGTAGAGACACCTACTTTCCTATGTACTCTTTTCATTTCTCTTTGTCTAAGGGAGACAGATCTATACATGCCTAAAGCTCTAAGAATATAACATCTACATACAAAAGAACATGTTGATGACAGTAATACAAGAAGTGATTCAACTGCAGCAGGGGCAGAAAGCCTTGCTTTACACCAGATTTAGAGAAAATTATTGGTCTAAGAGAAGGGGAAAGAAATTTGAGGTAATAAAAGCTCAGGAAAAGACTGAAATGTACTAGTTATCTGTGAATAGCAGAATAAATGGACAGTACATTAAAAAGTATTAGAGTCAGAAGAGGAGTTATGTGCTCAAAAGAACATCACACCTTACCAATTGTGACAACCTCTGGATTTAGAATTGATTCATCAGATACGATAAAACCTCCAGATACAAATAATTCATTGTATGTATGATTTTTAACATCATCCAGGCTATCAACACCAGCAAAACTAACGCAGGGGAGCTTCTTTAAAGTCACCAAGCCAGGTATCTGTTTAAATCCCAAAATAAAAAGAGAAACAGATGGATGAGGGAATGAAGTGATAGACTCAAGTGTGAAGGAACCTACAAGAAGTCTAACAGAATGCATTATGGCTCATCTGTATTAGTAGATTGCCTCTGGAAAGCCACACACACAAATAATATTCTCAACATTATTTCCCAATATATAAACCAACATTTATGTACTGGGACCTATCAGAGACCACTAAAGAAGCTTACAATAGACCTGAAAACACAAAATGGACAAAAGCTGACCTCTCTATAACCTGTGAGTACAGTCAGAATTCAGATGAAGGCAAAAGCCTATGTGCTGGAACAGTCAATCAGGAAAGGCATCCAAGATGTAAGATGTGAGATAGGGCTCCTAAGACTAGATGGGATACCTCAAAATATAAGGGAAAAGGGGACTGGTCTGACAAAGATGGAGCACAAATAGGTTTTTCCTAGGACATACAAATGAAGATGAAAACATTAAGTAGTCAGTCAGCAGACCCAAGGGTATTCAAGGATTCAGTACTCTTATTAGTCTTGACTACTTGAGTGACAGGGAAGATCCATGATGTGCAGCAATTTAAAACTTTGAAGAGGTACAAACTTGAATCTCACAAGCTGATTCATAGATGGGTCCTTAAGTTTAATCTCCTTTAAAGCTTATTTTAAAAACACTAGTCTGCCAGACAGCAAGATTTTAAAATAAGGGAGTTTTTAAAACCAAAGTAAGTAGTGAATTTGACTTAATAGTCTACCTTGTGAATGAAACCTGCAATGTCTTCATTTTGAATAATAATCAATAGTTTATCTAATTTTGATCTTCTTTCCAAAAACTGTTCTGGATGACATTCTGTATTGCCTAATTTGATAAGATATTCCTGTTAAAGAAAAACAACTAAATCAATATTAAAATGCTTTTTTGTAAACATCAATTTAATACCAGAAATGCAAGATAAACTGATAAGCTTAAGTACTACTAGGACATTATTAACAATAAATGAATTTACACTCTAAGAGACCTTACAGACCATCAAATCTATTTTTTTTTTTTTTTTTTTTTTTTGAGACAGGCTATCACTGTTTCCCAGGCTGGAGTGCAGCGGAATGATCACAGCTCACTGCAGCCTTGACCTCCCAGGCTCAAGCAATCCTCCCACCTCAGCCTCCTGAATATGTGGCACTAGGCTCAGCCACCACACCAGGCTAACTTTTTTTTTTTTTGTAAGAGAGTCTCGCTGTGTTGCCCAAGCTGGTCTTAAATTCCTGGGTTTGATGATCCTCCTGCCTTGGCCTTCCAAAGTGCTGGGATTATAGTCATAAGCCACTGCACATGGCCCAAATCCACTTTTCTTTTCTAGAAGAGGAATCTAAAGGTCAGAGCTTCACCAATCCCAGAGTCACAATGTTACAGAGCTTCACCAATCACATGGTCACTATGTTACAGCACTATGCAAAGCCAGCTAATTAACAGTGTGAGAGTAACAGAAAGAACTGTTAATTAGGCCAGGTTCTTAACCCAGCTCCTTTAGTTATTACAGAGGTTAATAATCGATTAGACTCTAGGTTGCCTGTAATACCCTATGAGAAACACTTTAAGGCAACCTAGAGTCTAATCATTAACCACTCCCTAGCTCCCATTTTCCTTTGGATTCTAAGCAGGCCCTTGGTTATTTGCAGCAGTATTAACTGGGATAAACGCCTTCAGAGTTAAGAACTTTCACAACCATAGCTCCTTTAATTCACAACAGCTCAAAAAGCATTTATATAGACCTTCATTATGTACAATGGTATTGACATACTAATAAGCCATTTCTGTCAAGTTTCTGTCTTCAAAGTAGACTCTCCCAACTAATAACTCTTCCTCCATGCTGGTGAACATGGTACTTTCACAAGACACAGGCAGACTTCCATGCAGAGTTCCCTTTGCTCTCTGCTTGCTGGTGGAATCCTGAACACTGAAGTAAACTGCAAGATCCTAGAGGTCATATTCCTCATTTCAGAGATTACTTTTAATGTCAGCACAGCTGGTCAGACAGCTATAATAAAAACCCAGCTCACCTGACAACCTGTCTACTGCTCTTTCAACAGCTGCCTAAAGTGTCACCCCAAAGAGGAGGATGTTGTGCTAAAGCAGCACCTTCTACATTGATTTTGATCCAAGCTCTGGAACTTTTGGGCAGATCTCAGACCAGCTTAGTCAGTTAATGAAAAGGTAAATTACCATCTGACATGCCTGCTGGTAATGTTTTTTTTTTTTTTTTTTTTTTTTTGAGATGGAGTCTTACTCTGTGCCAGGCTGGAGTGCAGTAGCCACCCGGCTCACCTGGCTCTGCCTCCCAGGTTCACACCATTCTCCTGCTTCAGCCTCCCCAGTAACTGGGACTACAGATTGCCCGATCACCATGCCTAATTTTGTATTTTTAGTAGCTAATTTTTTGTATTTTTAGTAGAGACGGGGTTTCACCGTGTTAGTCAGGATGGTCCCGATCTCCTGACCTCATGATCCACCTGCCTCAGCCTCCCTCCTGGTAATTTTTGATGTCTTCTTACATTAAGAAGCTTTAAGTTCATTTAAAATAAGACAGTTTAATTCATATAATAAATCAGTTTGACTCCAGAAATATTTAAAGTTTACATTTTTATTCATAAAGTCTTTTACTGTAGTATTTTTGCTGGAATATTTCCAATGGATATTGATTAAAAGAATTAAGGTTTCTATCTGGTTTTCTATCAGATTCGTAAAACAAAGAATGCTCTTTTATTCTATATAAATGACAGAAATGACTTGTTGTATGCCAGAAAAAATTAAAAGCACATTTCATTAGGAAATGTATCTCCTATCCCTGTAATCTAAACGTCACGGCTGGGTGCGATAGCTTACGCCTATAATCCCAGTACTTTGGGAGGCCAAGGCGGGCACATCACCTAAGGCCAGGAGTTCAACACCAGCCTGGCCAACATGGTGAAACCCCGTCTCTACTAAAAATACAAAAAATTAGCTGGACGTCGTGGTGGGTGCCTGTAATCCCAGCTACTTGGGAGGATGAGGCAGGAGAATTGCTTGAACCTAGGAGGTGGAGGTTGCAGTGAGCCAAGATAGTGCCATTACACTCCAGCCTGGGCAACAAGAACAAAACTCCATCTCACTAAATAAATTTTTAAAAATGTCAAATAGGTGTGTTACAAATCTTTTTTAAAAAAGGAGCAGGGGGTGGGGGGTGTGGGGGTGGAGGGAGTTGGAATTATGCTAAGCACACTCGGAACTGGGCGCAACCTATTCTCTCATCTACCCCCAAACCAATATGCAGCTATGCCCCCAAAGAGTACTGTGCTTGGGAACTTATTGCTGGCTGGTGGGGAAAAGTTGAGAAACTCTACATTCAGTCAATGCAACCAAGGAATTCCTAGAAGTCTCATTTCATTTTCCCAAAAAACCATTAGGAATCAGTAAGGAAAGCCCAACAGAGTACTCTGACTCATGTCATTTCTATGTTCTTCAGGTCTTGACCAGGTGACGTCACACGAAACATGCTGACCTCAGAGATGCCCAAACTGACAAAAGGCTTAGGACATGTTAGTAGCTATAAAGCCCATGGTCCCTCTGATTCCTCTAATGAAATTCCAGTCATGGTAAGTAAACTCTATAAATGAGAGCAGGCATTTATTTCAAAATCTTAGCCATTCCCTTGAGGAATTAAAATCCCATAATTTATTGAGTATTAATTTTAATATTACACCACTAATACAATTGCTCCAATGTGTTACCATTTACCTACATACTGGTAACAAACTTACATCTCTCTAACATACAGACACACAGAAAGGTGTGTGTGGTTTTTTGTTTTGTTTTTTTTTTTTGAGACGGAGTCTTGCACTGTTGCCCAGACTGGAGTACAGTGATGCAATCTCGGCTCGCTGCAAGTTCCGCCTCCTGGGTCCACACCATGCTCCTGCCTCAGCCTCCCAAGTAGCTGGGACTACAGGAAGCTGCCACCACGCCCGGCTAATTTTTTTGTCCTTTTAGTAGAGACAGGGTTTCACCGTGTTAGCCAGGATGGTTTCGATTTCCTGACCTCGTGATCTGCCCACCTCAGCCTCCCAAAGTGCTGGGATTACAGGCGTGAGCCACAGCGCCTGGCCATCTGTGTGTTTCAACCAAATATCTGAAATATTAGTCTGCAGCTTCAGTAGAAAAAATACACCTCACAGTGAGAAATCTTTCGTGACCTGAGTAGTCTTTCAAGATTATCAGGTTTCTTGATCAATCAAGGATAAAGGGAATGTAACATGGCTAGGGTATCAAGAAATACCAAAAGTTTATCATTAGGCCAACCATGGGCAGTTTGTTTTTCTATGTGATTGATCAAATCCCATGAGATAAACCCTGGCAACTTGATTTTTCCTGTGTTTTTCCTTCCTCTTCATTAAAAATCCAAGAAATGGCCAGGCATGGTGGCTCACGCCTGTAATCCCAGCACTATGGGAGGCTGAGGCAGGTGGATCATGAGGTCAGGAGTTCCAGACCAGCCTGACCAACATGGTGAAACCCTGTCTCTACTGAAAATACAAAAAAAAAAAATTAGCTGGGCATGGTGTTGCATGCCTGTAATCCCAGCTACTTGGGAGGCTGAGGCAGGAGAACTGCTTCAACTCGGGAGGCAGAGGTTGCAGTGAGCCGAGATCACACCACTGTACTCCAGCCTGGGCGACAGAGGGAGACTCCGTCTCAAAAAAAAAAAAAAAAAATTCCAAGAAACACTTCAAACCTTCAAATCAACAGTTTAAAAGGTATGTGCATAAATGACACTGTAAAACAAGATTCTAAATTCTAACATATTTAGACCCCAAGTTCTGAATTTACTTGGACTTACCATTCTTTTATTCCACCCTGAGTTAAATTATGAAGATATACAATCAACATTTATTTTTATTATTTATTTTTAGAGACAGGGTCTCACCTCTGTCACCTAAGCTGGCACAATCATAGCTAACTGTAATCTCAAATGCCTGGGCTCAAGTGACCCTCCCACTTGAGCTTCCCAAGCAGCTGGGACTACAGTAGAGTGCCACCACACCTATTTTGTTATTAAGAGACAAAGTCTTGTTATGTTGCCCAGGCTGGTCATGAACTCCTGGCCTCAAGCAATCCTCCTGCCTCAGCCTCCCAAGTTTTGGAATTACAGGTATTAGCCACCATGCCTGGCCTATGGTAAACATTTAAACACAAAAAACTTCCATTTTATACAGGTCACACCAACAAGAGAAGTTTGTACTGCATTACTATTACCTTCTCGTTTAGTTACCTTTATTTCTTTACAGAGCACACTCTCTTCTTCTTCATGAATATAAAATTTCACAGTATTTTTCTGGACATCTTTCATGATTTTAACCAAACTATTAAATACTTCAGGTTCTAACTGGCTTATAAAATTTGAAAGAGCCGGTTGAGCAGAAATGTTTACATCACTGGGGGATTTTGTTGTTTCTTCTACTGGTTCCCGGGCCATATCACCAGGTACAGTATGATCAGAAGTCACCGTTAACTCTGTGGCATGTTGAGGCTGGTTCATTTCTACTTCAGTTAAACTCAAAGTCGAAGTGGAATGCTGCTCATTAGAGTTGGTGTCTTTCAAAGGATCACTACACAGTGGCTCAAGGAGATGTTTATTGTTGAAGTCACTTGAGGAGACTGGTATGACATGCCTTTCCAGAAGATTCGATGCTATCTTAGCATCAGAATCGTTAGGACTGACTGGTGGCAAATTCTCACCCTTGGCTGATGCTTTAATAATAATAGTATTTAGCTTCTCATGCAAACCATCTACAAACTCCTGCACACCAGCTTTGGAAGTCTTAGAATATATGAACTCGGAAAGCCGTTTCATCTTCTCTTGTGTTGTAAAGATAGGTGTGGAAACTCTACTGACATATGAAACATTCTTTTGCTTCAAAATCTCTTCTATCTTCCTAGAAAAGAGATTGTACTCTCCTAACACTGTCCTCTCTGTGGTTTCGCTCGCTGCAGGCGGCTCTGCCTCTGCTGCTGGCACACACTGCTCCTCCACCTGACCTGTCAACACGTCATCCTCAGTGGTGCCCTTTAGTGTGTCTGTAAATGGAGAGGATGGAAACTGGTAATCAGAACTTCTCTGTCTATTTATTACCCGGGGGTCGTTAGGAAAGGCCTCCTGTGGTGGCACACACACCAGCTGTTCTTCTGGTGATTTCATACCTATACAGGAAGAGTTCATTATTATAAGAGCAATCCAAAAATATAACATATGAAAACACAGACCCTTAAATTGGAGGGAAAAAAAGGGTTAACACACATTAAGAACTAATTATATATCAGAAAGTAAAATAAAATCCTAAAATTCTGGTATGAATTCTATGCCCTATGTGCCCTACTTATGGGATGGTCCTTAAGAGTTGTAGCTAGTGTTAACAACTCTGCCATTTTGAAGTGTTCAAGCAAACACCAATTTGGCATCAATACAAATTAAGTCATTTGCTTATTTCTGCCTCCCTACCATTCTGTAGATCTAAGTTTAATACACATTTTAATCAAGATGGTCAGTTGCATCAGCTTGCTCAATCCCTGTATTTATTATTTGCCAAGTAATATCTACTATGGTAATAGCCCCTTAGTGAGAATTCTGAGTGTAAGACAATTGTAAGAATATCAAACAGAAATGCTGTGGGAATAACTGTCAAGTTAAAAGTTGCATCTAGGATCTAGGATAATTAATTTTGTATCTGCTTTCAGACTTGTTCTCACTTATGAGGTTGCTAAGTAGATTTCCTGTAATGTCAGGGACTTCATTTTATCAGGAAATAAAACGAATAATAATAAGAGAAGAATATATTTCACAGCTGCACACTTTTGACAGTCCTTTCATAAATATTTTCCTTTTGTTTGGAAATAATTCTAAGAGAAAAGAGGATAGCTATACCTCATTTGAGATACAGAGGTTGGGCTGATACTGAGGTTGGCTGATACTATGGTTAGCTGATATTAATGGGATTAAAACCTTTCACTCTTGACAAATAGCTCAACCCAAAAGATCAACTTTCCCCAAAAAAATCCTAAATTCAAACAAAGTATGTTTTTGAAACGTTTGAAAAAGGGAACCCAAATTCCATTTTTAAGCAACAAGGGTTTGAAAAAAACATTTAACTTCAATTTTAGTGTTATATTTTAGGAAAAGAAAAAACTCATGATCTTTACTTAGAAGACCTATACACAATTTTACCCGCTAAAAAATTACTGATTTTCCTTAAGCCTTGGCCAACATTCCCTAACAAATTGCTGCTGTAGTATAGAAAATGGTGCCTCTAAATCAGGAAGTCCAGGTACAGGTAGTTTTCAAACCTACAGTAAAGATTTTGCTCACACTCATCACACTAGAAAAGGTTTAAATAGACTCACTAGGAGTCAGCTTATGACATTCTCTACCAATCCTGGTGGTTATCCTGAACCAGTACACTCATTAACTATTGCAAAGGCAATTTGTCAGCACAGAGAAAAGACCCAAGGTGGGTCTGTAGGCGGAGGTGAGAGGGGAACAAAATATCCAACGTGCCAGGATAAGAATTAGAACTGTATGAAATTGATAAACCAGAAAATCCAAGTTCCGTAAGATAATTAGGAATACTAAATATCCTGAATATCTTAAATCTGCAACATTAAAATGTGGTTTAGTACACATAAAGTGTCTGGAAGGATACACAAGAAATTGGTAACCATGGCTAATATACAGGGAATAATCTAAGTGACCTGGGCTGGGGTAGTATTACTTTCTGAAGTATTTGTAGACTTCTTGAATTATGTATCATGTCAAATATCTGATACAGTCAAAGAAAAAATGTTGAATTGCATCTCATAAAACATAGGGGTTGGGGAGAACTACCTTAATTTAAAAAGTTCTGAATTATTTATTAGACATGGGGCCTCACTATGTTTCCCAGACTGGCCTTGAATTTCTGGCCTCAATTCCTCCTGCCTCAGTCTTCCAAGCAGATGGGACTACAGGTGCATACCACCACAGCCGGCTATTTATTACTTTAAATGAAACAGTGGCTCCCAAAATGTATAGCTAAACAACCAACCAGTAAGTTTACTCCTGAAGGGTTACAAATAAAGGGAATACTTTTAACCTGCAAGGTAACTTAAATCTACATGGAGAATTTTCCATAATTAAAAACCTCTAAACCAAATAGATCCCTTTATAAAATATAAATAATCACAACCTAATTTTATTTTGCACAAATTTCCCTGTATGATTTTATTAAGAACTTAACTGTTCAGGCACGGTGGCTCATGCCTGTAATCCCAGCACTTTGGGAGGCCAAGGCAGGCAGATCACCTGAGGTCAGGAGTTCGAGACCAGCCTGGCCAACATGGTGAAACCTCGTCTCTACTAAAAAATAATACAAAAATTAGCCAGCCGTGGTGGCGGGCACCTGTAATCTCAGCTACTCAGGAAGCAGAGGCTGCAGTGAGCCAAGATTGCACCACGGCACTCCAGCCTGCCTGGGCAACAGAGCAAGATTCTGTTGCACAAAAAAAAAGGAAAAAAAAACGTAATTACTTTGAAAAGATCTCCATCTATAAGTGATTGAAAACACCATACATGTCAATCTATAATAATGCTTTTGTTGTTTTTTTCTTAAACAGAGTCTCGCTCTGCCACCTGGCTGGAGTGCAGGGGTGTGATCTCGGCTCACTACAACCTCTGCCTCCCAGGTTCGAGCAATTCTCCTGCCTCAGCCTCCGAAGGAGCTGTGACTACAGGTGCAAGCCACCACGCTCAGCTAACTTTTTTATTTTTAGTAGAGACAGGTTTTTACCATGTTGGCCAGGATGGTCTCAATGTCTTGACCTCCTGATCCACACGCCTTGGCCTCCCAAAGTGCTAGGATTACAAACATGAGCCACCACGCTTTTTTTTTTTAACTTACTGCCATTAAATAATTGCAGTATTTTAACTTTTAAGTGAAAGGGGAGTAGTGAGTTCTCTAAAGGTACCATCAGTCAGATGTCACATTCTGAAGCATAAGAAAGATTACTACTAGCCGGGCACGGCTGCTCACGCCTGTAATCCCAGCACTTTGGGAGGACGAGGCAGGGAGATCACGAGGTCAAGAGATCGAGACCATCCTGGTCAACATGGTAAAACCCCATTTCTACTAAAAATACAAAAATTAGCTGGGCGTGGTGGCACGCGCCTGTATTCCCAGCTATTCGGGAGGCTGAGGCAGGAGAATCGCTTGAATCCAGGAGGCAGAGGTTGTAGTGAGTCGAGATCATGCCACTGCATTCCTGCCTGGGTGACAGAGCAAGACTCACAAAAAAAAAAAAAAAAAAAAAAAAAAAAACTATTCTACTATTCTTAATGAGAAAAGAATTATTGATAGATGCAAAACACTGATCACGTCCTGACATAATATTGCATGAAAGTACCAAACATGAGAGACGACATGAGTAGGCTCTAATTACCCTAAGTTCAACAGCAGGCAAAACTAATATATGGTAAAAGAAGTTGGATTAGCAATTACTTGGGAACAAGGAGAGTACTAACTAGGAGAATGCGGAAGAAAATCTTCTAGGATGCTAGAAATGTTCTATACCTTGATTTGGGTGGTGGTCATATACATATGTAAAATTTCAAAAAGCTGTACAATAAAGATCTGTGGCCAGGTTCAGTGGCTCACTTGAGGTCAGGAGTTCGAGACTAGCCTGGCCAACATGGTGAAACCCTGTCTCTACTAAAAATATAAAACTTAGCTGGGTGTGGTGGCACATGCCTGTAATCCCAGCTACTTGGGAGGCTGAGGCAGGAGAATCACTTGAACCCAGGAGGCACACGTTGCAGAGAACCAAGATCATGCCACTGCACTAGAGCCTGGGCAACAGAGAGAGACTCTGTATCAGAGGAAAAAAGAAAAAAAAAAAGATTTGTGAACTTTCCTCTATGTTATATATCTGTTGTTCATGGTTTCTTTTTTTTAAACCATAATTTTCCTAGGAGATGGTAAAGATTTTCTTGAAGGAAGCTAGTAACTTTAATTGGGGGGGGAGGGCAGGGGAGAAACAACTCCCAAAGCAATTACTACAAAGATGTAGTAAGAAAATCATTTCATATTTCTTTCAAATAAAAAAACAGCACTTTAATTTCTGAGACAGATACAATAAAACTGAAAGAAAATATAAAAAATATCACCAGCAAACTATAAGCAAGACCATCTGCAGAGAAGCTGAATCCACAAAGCTCAAAGATTATCTCCTAGGTACCCACTGCCAACTAGCTAATCAGTAATATCTGCAATTGTTTCTGAAATCCAAGTTTCTTAATCTCTTATTTAAAGTACCCACAGAAATCGGCTTTACAATCAGAACAACTAGGTTAAGACTATGAACAGTATACCTAAAATATAAATGGCTTCCCCTCCTGGCTATTTTTTTTTTAATTTTAAAAAAAGAAACCCAGGCGTGGGGGCTCAAGCCTGTAATCCCAGCACTTTGGGAGGCCAAAGCGGGTGGATCATCGGAGGTCAGGAGTTTGAGACCAGCCTGGCAAACATGGTGAAACCCCGTCTCTACTAAAAATACAAAAATTAGCTGGGCATGGTGGCATGCACCTGTAATCCCAGCTACTTGGGAGGCTGAGAAAGGTGAACTGCTTGAACCTAGGAGGCAGAGCTTTCAGCGAGCCAAGCTCACATCACTGCACTCCAGCCTGGGTGATACAGCAAGATTCCATCTCAAAAAAAAACGAAAACGAAAACAAAAAAAAGAGTTTCTCATAAGATATACTGCACAAATGGTTTAGGAATGTATTCCGGTCTTTCCAAATCATACTGTAAGATAGACTCTACTATGGGTGAAGAAAACTTAATCTATATAAATATTCGGTGACTTATTTGAACACTTTATAGTAAGAATATTGGATACAATTCAAGTAATGATTTACATACAAATAAATATGGTAGTGTCCAAATTTTCTGTAATTAAAAAAAATTTAAGTCAATGCCCTTATTGATGGAGTATCAGAAATGCAAGTAGCAATTCTGAAGAAGGGCACACTGGGAAGAAAAGCAAAGCAAGCCTTCTCACCTGGTGTTTGTTTCTCACCATGTTTCCCCAGCTGCTCTTCTGGGCTTCTTGCATTCCCTCCTGAGGGAAAGCATCCATTAGACTCTCTTCAGACATTAGTGATACCTACTAAGCACCTTTCAGACAACCCCAAGTGATAACAAATGCAAGCATTCCTTCTTCTGCCTAAAATAATCTGAAGGGTCATACTTGTGATGATGGAATATCAACACTTAAGACACTGTACCTTCAAATGACCCAACACCAAGTATGAAGGTGTCTAATTGAGAAACAGTTAGGATAACCTTCTTGTATCAACTACTTCTTTTGTTTCTCCCACTCAAGCTGGTATTTCCACCTCATAAAACAATACTAGGTTCCCTCTATCATCACCTACAGGCCGCCTGCCCTCCAGAAAGGTGTTAAGTAGAAGATAGTGCTAAAGCCCATGGGAACTCATAAAGTTTTATAAATTCTTCTGAGTCCTCGGAAGTCTCAGCAGGTTCTAGTCTAGTTCATAGGCCAGTCTACTTTGTAACAAAAAGTTGTTTGCTGCTGCTATTGTTTTTAAAAGGTTAGAGATGTAGGACTGGAAAAGATATATACCCTGAAAATATTTCCAAAAATATTTAAGAAAAAGAACTTGGTATATTAAGTGTATGTATTTGTGTGTTTGTATGTGCGTGTTTGCACAGAGAAATTAGGATGCTACCAAAAAAAAAATATTTCAACATCTGCTAAACTTTTTGCCTCATAGTTCAGTAACATTTACATGTGATCATTGAGGCCATTCTCTAAGATAATCCAATTTATTTAAGATAATCCAGCATTAAGAAATCAAATTTCTAATAGATGAACCTCAACATTATCACTTACTAGATGACAGCTTGTTACAGTGAAGTTTAGTAAGTTTGAGAAGACAACATTTAATTGATTGTCCAAAGAGCACCATTTTATCTCTGCAGCTACCTCAGCTTATCAAAAACTCAGTTTCTGCCAACAGTCTTCATTCAGCAGTCTGCATGCTAAACTCCACAGAGACAGTGTGTCTTAAATCCCTGTTTTTAAGGTGATTTTGCCGGTGCTTGCTGATGCTGACCAAGAACAGCCAACACTCAGTATTACATCGTATTACTTAAATAAGACACTGAAGGTATCAGTGCCAAGTAAGATGAAGCACCTAGTGACCCAAGAGTGAAATCCAGAACAGATGGAAACCTTCAGGAAACTGGTCTCAAAGTAAAATGAAGCAAACCGAAGTCTAAGTATACTTTTCTTACCTGTAATTGGTATCAGTTTCCAATGTATTTCAGTTTCTTCAACATTATTTGACTTAGACTGTTGTCTACGAAATCCATGTTCAATGGGAACACTGGGACACAAACTGCAATCTTCAAAATTACTCACGCTAATTAAATTTGGATCCTAAAAATCAAAGTACACACTCAATAGCTTTCTTTTCAATTCATTTTAATGTCAAGAATAAACTTTTTTTCACAGTAAATTCATGTGCTTCAATCTAAATATTACAAATGTGTAAAATCAACATGGTAAAGTTACACTCTAGTCTCAAAACATAACTTTTCCCTCAAAACTTAATTTTATGTTAATTTAGAACAGGGATTGGTCAACTTTTATGCTAAAGTGCCAAACAGTAAATATTTTAGGCTCTGCAGGCCAGACTCTCAAGTCTACCACAGGCAATACCTAAACAAACGGACATAGCTGTGCTCCATTAAAACTTTAGTTATAAAAATCGGTGGTGTGCTAGGTTCGCCCCGTGCCCCCGCCCCCCATCAACTTGATTTAAAATACAAAAGTTATCAGGAAAATATTAATACAGGTTAGTTCCTCAGTGCCTACCCAACAAATAAGCTTCCTGTCATCATCTTCCCCTTGAAATAAATATCCCAAAACGACATGGAGAAAGAATGGGGACATGCATACAACTTTTAAACAAAGGCAGGGAAGAGAAAATGGAGACAGTAAATGAAGAAGTAAGCCCATAGGAATATGGTGCCATCCTAGAACTATTCCCCAGTGACGCGGCGACTACTTAAGGGAGAGATAAGGCTACTTCTCAGCTACAAACCAGCACTCTGAACATATATCATAAATATACTGAACACTCCAATAAGCAAAGCTGTGAGTCACTTCAGAGGTAATCCTAAAGGCTACTTATGTCCCATTCCTATTTGCATAAGAAATACCAAGTACTTAACTTTGTTACACTGCTGTATTGAGACTGGTATCCTCACCTGTCTCACCTTTGGGTTCTCTGTTAGTGCCAGCAGAAAGCCAATGTTTTGATAATTCAACTTTATTATGAAACAATAAGGAATTAACTCCCAATAAGCCATTTCTGACAAACATTAATAGATTGTTCCACCTTAGCTTTATCACAAGTAAACTGTAGACAACATATTAAGCTTCTAAGGAAGGAAGGAAAACTATTTCAGCATTTATCTCTTTGTAACAAGGAATAACTTAGGAAGTACCATCCTAGACAGGCACCTTTACTCAAAAGTGCATTTTATTTCTTTTTCAAAGAAAAAAATCATTCCCTGAAGCATACAGCACCTCTTTCACACACACACTCACAAACACAAAGATAACCAACAGCTATATGCTTACTTCTTTCAAATGTAGCTTATGGTCAGTGCCCACTTCGGTGGTAGAAATAGCAACAGAATACTTAGATGTTGCATCAACTTCTAGTAATAAGCTCTGAGTACCCTTAAACTGTGCATTTTCAATTTTTGCACAAGTAGGCTGCTCATATTCTTTCTTATCTGGGTTAGAGTTCAACTCATACTCATGTTTTTGCCTCAGCTCTTCATAGGCATCATCAGTGCTCAATCCTAAGGCTTTGTTGACTGTGTCTGTTAGAGATGCATCAGAATGGCGCGCATTTGCTAGTGTTTCTGATAACCAATTAAACAGCCTATGGATGTCAGCAATGCCGGAGTTACAGGTATCCTGCTGCTGCCGCCTCAAGTCAGCATCATGTCCAAGTGAGCCAAAAGGCTGTGGAGACTCTGAGAAAAAGGAAAGTCACTGGTTGAAGTTAAGTTTAAAAACCAGCATAAAATTTTTGAAATCAAATATACCTAAAAAATTATCGTAAAGCATTTATGGTCAGGAACTCAACCAAACAATTTGCTTAGACTTTACAAATATCCGCATCACTTTACAAACAGAATTGTAAAATTTTGCACATAGTTCAAAATTGCTATTTAAGTTTAATTTTCATTGTAATTTAAGCATTCTATCAATAGGAAAATAAGCTCATGCATCAGGTTTTAAATATGTGTATTAATAACTCTACCATCAAAATCTCAAAGTCAACCAGATGCCTGACAAGAGATGAAACATTTGTACTTGCTATTTTGCCAATTGTTAGGATTATATGCGTATTACACTAGGCTAATAAAAAAATGACTTAATTTGATTTCTATCTTTTCCATACTTACTATATTTTGTCCTTAAGGCACTGGCAGACACACTTAAAATCTACACCTTATCTTGAATGACTAGATTACTTAAATTCATAATGAAGCTAGGATATTACAGACATAAAATCATCTTGAAGAAATCTCCACGAAATTTGCATCAAGAAAAAGCATTATAAGAGGAAACACGTTAAGACATGGTTCCATGCACATACGTTAAGACGTGGTTCCATGCATGCACTATAAATCTGTATAATCTGTAACAACTAATATATTTTAAAACTTGTAAAGGGAGCAAACATTCAGAAAGTCATGTGCTTTAATGTTGGGTTGGGGTAGGGATTGGGTGAAGCCTGAGTTAGGATTTCTAATTTGAGTGTAATGTACCACAATAAAAATAAATGTCAGAAACAAAGGAGTGCATACTGTATGATTCTAATTATGTCAACTTTTTATAGAGCAGGCAAAACTGATCTCTAAAGACAAAAAGCAGATCAGCAGCAGAGTAGGATGAGCTACCTAACAAAGAACACAAAGCAACATATAAAAATGTTCTGGCCAGGCACGGTGGCTCACGCCTGTAATCCCAGCACTTTGGGAGGCCAAGGCGGGGGGATCACAAGGTCAGGAGATCGAGAACATCCTGGCTAACAAGGTGAAACCCTGTCTCTACTAAAAAAATACAAAAATTTAGCTGGGCATGGTGGCATGCACCTGTAGTCCCAGCTACTCGGGAGGCTAAGGCAGGAGAATCACTTGAACCCAGGAGGCAGAGGGTGCAGTGAGTCGAGATCGTGCCACTGCACCCCTGCCTGGGTGACAAAGCGAGACTCTGTCTCCACAAAAAAAAAAAAAAAAAAAAAACAGTTCTATAGGCTCACGCCTGTAATCCCAAAACTCTGGGAGGCCGAGGAGGGTGGATCACCTGAAACCTAAAGTCAGGAGTTCGACACTAGCTCGGCCAACATGGTGAAACCCTGTCTCTACTAAAAATACAAAAATTAGCTGGGTATGGTGGCACACACCTGTAATCCCAGCTACTCGGGAGGCTGAGACAGGAGAATCACTTAAACCCAGCAAGCAGAGGTTGCAGTGAGCCGAGTTCAGGCCACTGCACTCCAGCATGGAAGACAGAGTAAGACTCCATCACAAAAAAAAAAAGTTCTGTATACTGGCGTGGTGATTTACACAGCTGTCAAAACTCATCAAACTGTGCGCTTAAATAGGTACACTGATATAAACTGTACCGCAAAACAGTTTATGTTAAAAGTTATAAGGGGTGGTGGGAATGGGTTAGGAGGTTACCTCATAAAATGACTGGGCTCACCACCAAATCAAGATCAGGGTGTTTTAAAAGTTAGAATACAAGCCGGGTGCGGTGGCTCACACCTGTAATCTCAGCACTTTGGGAGGCCGAGGCGGGCGGATCATGAGGTCAGGAGATTACCATCCTGGCTAACACGGTGAAACCCCGTCTCTAATAAAAATACAAAAAAGTAGCCGGGCGTGGTGGTGGGCACCTGTAGTCCCAGCTACTTGGGCAGCTGAGGCAGGAGAATGGCGTGAACCCAGGAGGCGGAGCTTGCAGCGAGCCAAGATCGCACCACTGCACTCCAGCCTGGGCGACAGAATGAGACTCCGTCTCAAAAAAAAAAAAAAAAAAAAAAAAGTTAGAATACAACCTTGAAATCTCTACCTTCAGAAAAAAAGTATGCAAAATTACTTGAAAAGAAATAAGTGAGAAACACCTAAAAATGCAAGTCTGACAGTCACTAGTTTCAGTTAAGCTATATACCCTTCTTCTTCTGCCACATTTCTCATTTGACCTATTATAATTAGTATGGCTTTCTCATCATTTTAATTATTGATGAAGCCTGATTTTTACCCACAACTATTTTTTCCACATACACAGAATTGGTTACCAACAAAAACAGTACCAAAAAAGTATCTTATTTATTCAGTGCATATTACGTGCTCAGTGACAGGAAACGCAGCAGTTTGTGAACAATGCTTTGGAGTCAGTCAGAACTGACTTTGGATTGTGCCACTAACTTCATAACTTTTGGTAAAGTTATTTAACATATCTGAGACGATTTTCTCATCTGCAAAATTAGGATAATAATGCCTACTACTCAAGAACTATTAATGAGTTCATATACATAAAGTACCTAGCACACAGTAAACAAAACTCTCAAGACATGTTAACAAGATACAACAAGATAAGACAATTAAGTGCTAACAGGTTCAGCACAGATTGCAAATCCAGCATAAACTAAAGGAGGAGATCATTAAGGAGAACAGACAGAAAGCTGAGGAGAAATATGAATTGCAAAGATATAAGGCTTGAAAGAAATGGAAGCTACTTCAGGAAAAAAAAACAGGGAAATAAAAGACTGACCATGACATACTCTAGGCAGAGAGAGATGACCCTTAACCAAGACATGTGAGAGAAGAGTGGGAAACATGGGTGGACATGGACAGTCTATAACAAAGCTTTAAAAGGTAAGTATATAAGATGAGATTGGTAGTAAATTAGCAAAGCAATACTGAGAAGAACATGATACTGAAACGGGTGCAAGAAGGTAGTAAGTCAGGAAGGCCACCAAAGAGATAAAGAACACGGACAAGGAATAACAACATTGGAAAGAGAGACACACAGGTTAACTAATGAAAACATGATAGTTACTGCAAAGAACAGTAATGTCAAATAGAACTTTCTGCAATAATGGAAATGTTCTCTCTCTATACTAATACAATGGTGTGGTTGTTGAAATGTATTTTTATTTCATTTTAAACTTAAATAACAACATATGACTAGTGGCTACCATATTGAATACCATATAACAATAAAAAAGTTAAAAAAGAGCAGGCTGAGCGTGGGGGCTCACGACTGTAATCCCAATACTTTGGGAGGCCAAGGCAGGCGGATCACTTGGTGTCAGGAGCTCAAGACCAGCCTGGCCCATATGGCAAAACCCCGTCTCTACTAAAGATACAAAAAGTAGCCAGGCACAGTGATGTGTGCCTGTAATTCCAGCTACTAGGAAAGCTCAGACATGAGAATCATTTGAACCAGGTAGGCAGAGGTTGCAGTGAACCAAGATGGAGCCACTGCACTACAGCCTGGGTGATGGAGTGAGACTTTGTCGCAAAAACAAATAAATAAAGAGAGCAAGAAAGTGAAAAGTGAGGATACAAATACAGATTGCTAAGAGCAAAAGTGTGAAAAGACACTGATCTGACTAACCTAGACTAAGACACACTGAATTTGAAAAGACAAGTTGCTTAATAAAAAACCTAAGAATACTCAGTTCTGCCATAATCACTCAGAGGAGCAACAGCAGCAGGAAATGTGGATTGTTAGGTCAACTTTCTCTGAATGCAAAAGAACTCATTTCGTGCTTATGAACTAGTAGTGTTAAGATCTTAAAAATCCAGATAAAAGTGTTTTAGCTGACTTGCAATATTGAAACAAACACACTTAAAACAAGCACCTTACTGTCTTATCTTTTTCTGTCAACCAAAACAAAACAAAGGAAAAAAGAACAACAAAAAAAGAAAAACCCAAAGATATTCCTAGATTCTTGGGGTATAAAAGAATACGTGTATGCATATTTTATTTTCAAATTCAGAAGGTTCCTTTTCATTATGCAACAGCCTAAAAGATACTAATATTCTAATACTATACTTCTTCAACTATAAAAATAAAGGAATATGGCCAGGCCTGGTGGCTCACGCCTATAATCCCAACACTTTGGGAGGCCGAGGCGGGTGGATCACGAGGTCAGGAGATGGAGACCATCCTGGATGACATGGTGAAACCCCGTCTCTACTAAAAATACAAAAAATTAGCCGGGCTTGGCGGCGGGCGCCTGTAGTCCCAGCTACTCGGAAGGCTGAGGCAGGAGAATGGCGTGAACCTGGGAGGTGGAGCTTACGGTAAGCCAAGATCGTGCCACTACACTCCACTCCAGCCTGGGTGAGAGAACGAGACTCCGTCTCAAAAAATAATAATAATAACCATTAAAAAATACAAATTAAGGAATATAAAAGGACAAGAGTTCTGATTAGTATTATTATGTCATGTTAACATACACCAAACAATTTAGAAATCTGATGTTCCAGTGTAGGAATTGTAAAGTGTTTCCTGTACTGGGCCAGGTAGCAAATATTTTAGGCTTTGTGGGCCATACAGTCTCAGTGCCAATGCCAACTCTGCCATTACAGCATGAAAGCAGCTACATACATATGGCTGTATTCAAATACAACTTTCTTTAAAAATATAGTGGACAGGCTGAATTTGGCCCTCAGGCTTTAATTTATATGCCCCTCTACTACAGGAAAGAACAGAACTACTTTATTTTTGGTTGTTATTATAAGAGCAATCTGATATTTTACCTTCATACAGATGGCAATTTTCTGATAAATTACTGGTTTTGGCGAGCTTTCTCATATTTTCAGGTAGATCCTCAAGCTTCCTCTTCAAGACAGTTTTGCTTCTCATATCTTCGGTGTCTGAGTCCCCACCCACATTCTTTTTCCTACACTGAATTAAATTAATCAATTCTTTGACTCTATCCTTATCATAATCCAAAGAATGAGATGATCTTTGCTTTCCAGATATAATGGTTTCACCCCTTGAGTTATTTCGTTTTCCAAATTTCATTTTTGTACCATTCACTTCTTCTTCTTGACCTTCATAATCTGAAAGTGGACTAAACTGTTGAAGTTTTCTATTTTCTTCAAATAGTTCTTTTAATTTACAAATAGGTAACTGATACACTTCAGGCCGAAAAATATAGGCATGCAAACAAGTATCAATATGGGATTTATTTCTGGGAGCTGAGTATAAGAACTTTTTATCATCTAATCGTGAATCATATGGAAACATAATAAACTCTCGTTTACCTGAACCAAAACCTCGCTTAAAAAATTCACTTACATACTTTTCAACAACAGAATGAAAATTTATAGTGCTTATATTTTTAAATTCCTTTCGACACTGAATCAAAGAAAATTGTAAAAACTGAGCTATTTTTAATACATCTGGCATGCTCTCATGCCTCTCCTTTGGTGCTGCATTGGTTGAACCTTTTTGTGCTGTAAATAAAACAAACAAAAAAAAGCAAACCATGTTAGCAATCAAGAAACTAATCAAATACAGATCTAAATATTGCCAAAGAAGTGTAAAAACATTTATACATTAATGCTGAACCAGACAAGTATGTACCCTAGTATATACATACAATATAGTAAATATATGAATAGCATGCTTGTTAAAAGTCCAGGAACCTGTAATAGGCCAGTAAGAAACTAAAACAAACGAAAGAGCAGAACACATTTTTAAAGAAAAAATCACCCACTCATTGAAGATTTCACTTCCTACTGCCCCCAGGAAATTCAAATAGTGGCAAGCAACATGTAAGAAGAAATAGAGACAGAACAAGATCTGAGGCTCCAAGCAAAACAGTCCTGCATGTCATCCCTTCCTCGTATAAAGTAGTAACTAACTTCACATAACTTCACATGAACAGATATGCAGATGCTGAGTAGCCACAATTGAGAAACTCATCCTTAATCCAACAGTGAAATAAAACCATTAGTGGGAACTTTATCTTAATACATAGTATTAATGTTCATTCTTAGAAAAAGTGGTTAACAAATCTTGTCTTGTATCAGCGCCAAAAATTCTTATTAATTTTGAATGGTCTAATATTTATCCTGGCAAATTATGCTTTAGAGTTACTAAAATTTGAATGCAAAATTAAACTAAGCTAAAAAATAATCATACAAAACCCTCACAGACTGGGCACAGGGCTCATGCCTGTAATTCCAAAAGCTTGGGAGGTTGAGATAGTTGGATCGCTTCAGGCCAGGAGTTCAAGAACAACCTGGATAACATAGTGAGATCCTGCTTCTAAAGGAAAAAAAAAAAAAAAAAAAAATTTAATTTAGCTAGGTGTGCTGGCACACGCCTGTAATCCCAAGCTACTCGAGGCTGAGGCAGAAGGACTGCTTGAGCCTAGAAGGGAGGGCAAGGCTGTATGTAGTGAGCCATGATCACACCGCTGCCTGGGCAACAGAGTGAGACCCTATATCTAAAATAAATAAATAAGTAACCCTCATAACTAAGCTACAGTACTATAACAATTATAATCAAGCTTTATGAGAGCACTGATATACACAAATTAATTTCTCACAGTTAAAAAAAAAAAATCGTGGCCCAGGCACAGTGACTCACACCTGTAATCCCAGCACTCTGGGAGACCGAGGCAGGTGGATCACTTGAGGTCAGGAGTTCGAGACCAGCCTGGCCAACATGGTGAAACCCCGTCTCTACTAAAAATACAAAAAATTCGCCAGGCATGGTGGTGGATGCCCTGTAATCCCAGCTACTCAGGAGGCTGAGGCAGGAGAATCACTTGAATCCGGGAGGCGTAGGTTGCAGTGAGCTGAGATCACGCCACTACACTCCAGCCTGGGCAACAAGAGCAAAACTCTGTCTCAAAAAAAAAAAAAAAAAAAAAAAGTCATATAATTTGTGTCTTATATTGCTAATTACCTCTTAACCACCAGTATTTCCTGAAACATGATGTAAGAAAGGCAAAATGTTTAGTGAGTTATCTGGAAAATTTCAATGAAATGTTAAGTATCTATAAGTAACTAGATTTAGATATTCAAAGAACTTACAAGTAACTATGCTTCTAGGTTCTTGAAATAGAAACAAAGCATGTAGGACTCGAGACTTGGCAGTCTGATATTCTAAAAAACAGAAGCCAAACTCATTAGCAATGTGTTTTAACTAAAAAGTTAAGAAAGAATTGTAAAAATTAAAGAGAGACCACCTACCATATGGAGGAACCATCTGATAAGGGGAGAGAAGAAAAAGGTATCCTCGGTCTCCCAAAGGTTTAACAAGAACCTGTATTTTGAGGGGAAGGAAGAAGTTGTATCTGCTTTATTATTATTCACCATAAGGCAGACACACAGCATTTTCTACTAATTGTAAAGAAAAAGAGTTCTTAATCATCTTTTAAGAAAAAAATATTGCTAATGAATTAACTCTTTCTACCAACTCTACTAACAGGATTCCAATCAAATAAAAATTCCTTGGTTTTCATAACATTAATGAGAAAATGTTACTGAAAGAACTCCCCTAACTGCAAAACCACATTAATTTTTCCCTGAAGCTAAAATATAAGGATGGACCAAACTAAAGACTTCAAATATTTTCGTCATCAATTCAAAAGATATGTTTATTAGTGGCCAAAGTAATGTGCTAGATGCTAGATATAAAACATGCTTTGAAACACTGCGTTGCAAGAGTTCAGACTAATCGCAAACCCAATGTGTTTCCATAATCGAATTGCACACATATTACATGAACACTTTCACATATAAGGCAATTTGCCCAGAGATAACCAAATACAAGCAACACAAGGATCCTTGATCACAAGAAGTTTATAATTAGGTAGAAAGAGTAACACAAGAAATACCAGTAACTACATAAGACAGAAAAGTTCCCTAAGAGATTTACAAAATAACAGAAATAGAAAAATACAGTTTGTTTACAGTAGTAAAAGATGGTCAAGAAAGGTTTACTGAAAGTGTATCAAAAGTAGATTTTGAAGGATGGGTACACTGACAAGAGCCTGAGATTGTGGGAAGGACATTTCAGTAGAGGCAACACTATGAGCAAAGGTGAGTTATAATGGACAGTTTACAAACATCACAGTTATTTATCACTGGCAAGAGGGTGAGGACAGACTAGGATAAATGTGTAAGACAAGTCTGGAATGAAAGATCATAGGTTAGCTGTAAAAAGACCAGAAGCCAGGTTGGCCAAGAATGTCCTTCAGAGCATACGCCTTTGAGCTAGTGTTTCCTTAAAACAACAATAACAAAAAAGACTTGACAGCACTGTGCAGGAGGCGGCAGAAAAACAATCTAATGCAAAGAATTCATTTCAGGGGCTACTGCAATAGTTCACAATGTTTTGGGTAAATGAGAAACTGAGCAAGGCAACTGAACACAAAAGGATACCTGAGCTCTGAAAGAAAACTTGTATTACCTAAATTCCTACTAAAACAATTCCAGTAAACAATGTCTGTATAAAAACTAATAATTCAGAGAACAAAAAGTAACTGTGCTACTAATTCACATTTAATAAGAACACTGAACACTCAAAAGTAAAGTGGTATTGTGTTTGGGGGGTTTCAGGTAGTCTTAGTTGATCACCTTCTCCAGGGTCAACTTCTCCTTCAGTTCAATCCGTGCCCAAAATCAGTCATAGACACCTGTTGCTCAAAGAGTTTATTTTAGTGGAAGCAGGCTGGTGGCATGGGCCAGATACAGTCAGGGGGTCACATGACCAAATGACTAGGAAGGTCTCCATCTGAAGATCACTCTAAACTTTGGGGCATCTTTCCCCATTTTTACTGCCTATATTCTGTGAGGGTCAGTTACCAGGTCTTTCTTTTATAAAGGAAGTTTAAATATTCTTGTAAGGGCAAACTTTGTTGTAAGGTTTCTAATAGTTACATCTGTGCTGAGGTGGCCTTGTTTCCTAAAAATCCCAGGGCCAAGGTTAAAAAATCCTCAGGCCAAGTTACATCATACTGCTGACATATAGTATTGGCTCTGCAAGACATTTAACTGCGTCTTATGGCTACCATTTATAGCCACGCTAAGTCTCTTAGAGTATATTACAAGTGGACAATGTACCTGAAAAATTTGTTTCAGACACAAATACTTTTATTTAAAATATTTTAGATAATATACTTCTTTTAATATTTTGCCCAAACTCCTAGTTGATGAAATAAAAAGTTAGGAAGCACAAGTAAGATTTTCATGTTTTGTGCTCACTGACAAAAACCAATTAGATGCCTTTAACCTCTCACTCACTCCAAATACTAGGTTTTATAAATTCCACTACTAGTAACCTAAAGATTCCTGTACTTAAGGGGTCCCAATGTTTCTAAAAATCCATGGAGTATAGGCAATCTATAATCAGAAATAACACTAAGGCAGACAGAGGCCTTCAGCAGTTATATCTGTATCTTCAGCCCAAAGAAATCCATTCAGTTCTGCAGAAAAGAAAAATCCTGGAAATTGTGCTCCTGTTGCCTCTATTTTAACTGTTTGGTTATTCTTTAAAAAAAAAAAAAAAGTATTAATCCAATCTGTGGGATTTTTAGCTAGTTGATTCTACTATTTTAAATTTCCAGATAACATTAAAGGTACTATGGCACTCCCCAACCCCCACAAAAAAAGAGTTAGTATAAACCACATGTACAATGGGCCAGGCACAGTGGTTCATGCCTGTAATCTCAGCACTTTCGGAAGCTGAAGTGGGAGGACTGCTTGAAGCCAGGAGTTCAAGACCAACCTGGGCAACACAGTAAGCCCCCATCTCTACAAAAAAAAATTTTTAAAGTAGCCATGTGTGGCATCATGTGCCTATAGTCCTGGCTACTTGGAAAGCTAAGGTGGGAGGAGGATTGTTTGATTCTGAGAGTTCAAGCTGTGAAGCTGTGATTGTGCCACACGCTTTAGCATTTCAGCCTAGGCAACAGAGTAAGTCCTGTCTCAAAAAAAAAAAAAAAGCTTAGAAGGAAATAAGCTATACTAAAGTAAGATTGAGCAGGAAAAAAAAAAGATTCAAACACTCAAAGGCATCAAAAATTGGAATTATCAGATGCAAAATGTAAAATAATCCACTATAAAATGTTTAAAGACATAAAATAATTGGAAGAATTAAAAACATTTTCACACAAAAATGTTTACACTAATGTTCCTAACACCATTATTCACAGCAGCCAAGAAATGGAAATAACTGATAAAAGAACAAACAAAATGTGGTATTATCTATACAATGAAAGAATACTGGGCCATAAAACAGAATGAAGTTCTGATATATGCTACAACATCAATGAGCCTTGAAAATTACGCTCAGTGAAAGAAGCCAGGCAGGCACTGAAGGCCACATATTGTTTGATTCTATTTATATAAAATATCCAGAGCAGATAAATCCATAGAGACAGAAGTAGACTAATGGCTGTCAGGGATTGGGAAGGGGGAATGTACAGTGAATTCTGAGATGAAAATGTTCAGGAATTAGATAGTGTTGATAGTTGCACAACAGTGTGAATCCACTAGAAAAACCATGGAATTATATACTTTAAAATGGCTAAAATGGCTGGGCACGGTGGTGCACACCTGTAATCCCAGCACTTTGGGAGGCCAAGTTCAAGAACAGCCCAGGCAATATGGCAAAACCCTGTCTCTACAAAACATACAAAAATTAGGCAGGTGTGACGGTATGTACCTTTAGCCCCGGCTACCCAGAAGGATGAGGTAAGAGGATCACCGGACCCCAGAAAGTCAAGGGTGCAGTAAGCCAGGACCGCACCACTGCACTCCAGCCTGGATGACAAAGCAAGATCCTGCCCATTTAAAAAAAAAAAAAAAAGGCTAAAATGGTTAATTTTATGTTACGTGAGTTTTATTTCACTTAAAAAAATACTAGCAAAGAATACCAGAATATAATATGCACCTCCTAGAACTCTGCCTGGCATATAATAGGTACTCACTAAATACTTCTGAAAGAATTAACAAGAACTTGCTATGAAATAACCAGGCAGATCCAAAAAAATTCAAATATAACTTTTAAAAATAAAAAACATGCGCTGTGAAATTAGAAACACAATAAATAAAGCAACAAATGAGACATAGCTAAATATATGATTTTTAAATTAGAAAACAGTTACGATGAAGTTAATTAGAATGCAGTACAGAGAAACAAATAGATGGAAAACGTAAGACGAGGTTAACAGACATGGAAAATATGCCTCTTCAGAGTCCTAAAAAGGCAGGCCAGGCCGGGTGCGGTGGCTCACGCCTGTAATCCCAGCACTTTGGGAGGCCAAGGCCAGTGGATCACCTGAGGTCAGGCATTAGAGACCACTGGCCAACATGGCGAAACCCTGTCTCTACTAAATATACAAAAATTAGCCAGGCGTGGTGGCACACACCTATAATCCCAGCTACTCGGGAGGCTGAAACAGGAGAACTGCTTGAACCCAGGAGGTGGAGGTTGGAGTGAGCCACGATTATGCCACAGAACACCAGTCTGGACAACACAGTGAGACTCCATCTCAAAAAAAAAAAAAAAAAAAAAAAAAAAAAAAGGCAGGCTAATGAAAACGAGGGAGAAGTACAATAAAAGAGGTAACTAATTTTCCAGAAAAAAAGATGTAAATCCACAGGTATGAAAGGAAAATATATACCAAGGTGGATAAATAGAAATCTACACCTAGATACTGTAACTGCTAAACATCAAAGACCAAAAAAAAGGTTTAAAAAGTAGCCAGGGGGTGGCAGGGGACCTACAAAGCAACAATTAGACTGAGAGCTAACCCCTAAATAAAAACAGAAGCCAGAAGACACTGCAGCATAGTCAAAGTGCAAGAAAATAGCTGTCAACCCAGAATTGTGTACCCAGCACCCAACAATTATAGGTTATACATTTTTTTCAAACACAGAACTCAAACACAGAAGGAGCATGTACAAAAATTAACTACCTAGATCTTAAAGTCTCAACAAATTTCAAATAATCACCACCATTGTTGATTACAATGCAATTAAATTAGAAATAAAAAAAGATGAAAGTATCTATGTTTCCCTATACACGTACCTCTACATCATACATCAAAGTCTAAAAAAAAAAATTGGAAACTAAAAAGTAAAAATTTCTCAGAAATGAATAATGAAAATACTGCACATTAAAACGTGAAATGCAATTAAAGCAGTACTTACAACTGAGTATTTACTATTTTTCTGACTTAAGACAGAAATAGCAAAATAAATCTCAAAAAAGTAAAAGTTGGCCAGGCTTGGTGACTCACCCCGGTAATCTCAGCA